CCCCAAAACCCCAAAACCCCAAAACCCCAGCAAAGATACATAAGATTGAAATAAGAGGATATATTTAAAACCAATTAAGATATTAAAATAAAACTTTATGAAAAATAAGAGGGGTGAGGAACCCAAGAGATCTAGCGCTCGCATACAGAATACCTTCCAGAAGACATACTATGGTAAGCTAGCATGCATGTGTACTCCCAATTTTCAGGGGGACATCTGGGGCTTTTAGGTCGCTTCAGGGTTGACTCATGCTGTTTAGGTAATGAAACTGATGCATTCACCAAAGATTATGAGACAAGTTATACCAATCAGCAAGCTCTCCTTGATAGCTGTAAGTCATTAATGTTGAGATTTTAGTTACCAAGAACAAGCGGAAACGTGGCAGGAACAAGTCCAAGAAGGTCGAGACTAATTCTAGTAGCGTTAGCAGCGATTTTAAGAACAGAAAGGTAACCAACCCGCTTATTTTTAGAGAAAAATCAAGTTCCTTGATAAAGATACTGAGAATTTAGAGGAATCTACGAGAAATACTCATCAGCTAAGCGCCAATCCGAGGGATGCTTCATGAGAAAGCTCATTTAACCAGAGTGGAAATATGCCTTCAAGACCTGCCAAGAGTCCCACATCTGCTGCGAAGCCCAGAAAGAACTCAAAGAGGAAGAAAAAGGTAAGTTCTGATGGCTAACACAAAGCTTAGGCTCTTAAAGGGATATTAAAATAATGATAATGTTCCAAAGCAAATTTTGATGGGAAAGGAGGTTGACATCACAGATGTCCCAAGAGGAGAGATTCCAAGTGATAGCAATATTGGTAATTCAAATTGTAGCTAACAAGGTCATGACTAGTGGTCGTTCTAATAGCCTGTACACATTTGATAATAGATATTAGCTATTTAGATACAAAGGCTCAGATTCTTACCAGTATATAGGGTGATCTCTTGCATTAGCTATTTCTACAAATATTATATAACATTATTTTTCGCCTTAAAACCATTGGAAAAGACCAATTTTAGAGATCTTGAAGAGAATTTCCTTTGTTTAGTCTAACTTGCCTCTTACCAAATTGATTATAGAATTAACCCCTGAAAATTGTAATATTGTGAGGTAAGCCCTCGCTCTAACTTTATAGCCAAGGTTCAGTAGATATGGCCCCTGATAATGCCAAGAAGGAGATTAAATAAGAAATCTGGGGTAAAACAAATAAAGTTTTCAAAGGTTCATGAAAATATTATGCCTGAAAAATCAGTGGTAAGCAGGTATCCTCGCAGAGTGATCAACTTCGTGTCTTAATGCAAAGACATATACTCTTTTGGTGACTTCTGTGTTCTCTTATTTCTATCTTCCCTCTCGAAGAAAAGGTGAATGCTTATTTTATAGGACCTGAATACTACCTCTGATAACAGAAGAGGAGATGTTCCAGACCATGAAGACCCGAGTGAGAAAGAGATTGTAAAGGACGTTTGCTCACAGGATTCCAAGCTATCCACATCCTCAAAGCCGTCATCTCAGGTTTGTAATAACCAATATTATTCAACTTTTATGTTTAAGACCTTTCTGCTTGCTTAGAGAAGAGATTTTACGCTCAAATTTGGGCCAGCTAATCCAATTTTTATAGACTTTATGATCAAAGAGCACTTTAGAGCAAGCAGATTGCCATCCGCTGACAGTGACCCATAAGACTGAAGCCAACGGTGTTGAAAAGGAAGTGCAGATCCCGTTGTCGATCCAATCTGCGAAGTTGATAGAAGAGAGCAGTGATGACAAAGGGGCTCTTAACTTCACCTTGGAGATAGTATGCACCCTCAAGCCTAGCACTTGCAAGGATCTGTGGTCTTAAGGTTTCAGCTTTATATTTTTACCAATAATTCAATGTTATTTAAACTAGCAGGGGTTTTGGGGTTTTGGGGTTTTGGGG